CCTGGTTCTTGTCCAGCTCGCAGTTCTTATACTCTTGCTCGCCTTGCTCCTGGAAGGTGACGATAACAAAACCCACGAAGATGTTCATCATGAAGAAGGCGATGATGATGATGTAGATGATGAAGAAGATGGAGATCTCCACACGGTAGTTGTAGATGGGGCCCTTGTCCTCCGTGTGGGAGTCGATGGAGCGGTACAGCAGCCTGCGGGAGGGGACGGCGTCAGGCCTGGGGCTGCCTGGGGTCAGGGGAGCGTCTGGGCTCAAGTCCTGGCCTTGGGGCTGCCTGGGGTCAGGGAAGCATCCGGGCTCAAGTCCTGGCCTTGGGGCTGCCTGGGGTCAGGGGAGCGTCCGGGCTCAAGTCCCGGCCTTGGGCTGCCTGGGGTCAGGGGAGCGTCCGGGCTCAAGTCCCGGCCTTGGACAATCCCTCAGGCTCTTTGGGACACAGACTCTGGCTCTGTGAAAGGGGACAAGAACTCCTGGCCCTCCAGGCCGCTGATGTAATGCGTACAAAGGTGTCGGGAGCCGGGGGAGCCGTTGAAAGGTCGCACGCACCGCCGCTTCCCCTTCACACACAGACACTCAGTAAATATTGAAACAGCGGCTGTGCGCTGAGCGGGCGGGAATGAGGAGGTGGAGGTCAGACCAGACGTGGGCTACATCCGACAGGAAATATCCATCCATTTAGACTAAAAAAATAAGCATCGGTGTGAGCGTGGCTGACTGCGTCGCCCACCGCACACCGCGCACGGCGCTCTGGCTCTCTACTCAAGGGGGTTGCGTGCGTCTGCTCTCCACTCAGGCCTGGGCTCTGCCCTGCGCCCGAGTTCTCATCCTCCGTCAGCCTCCTCTGTAACCCGCGCAGACGTCCCGTGGACGCCGCACAGACCCCTGGCTTGGGAGGCCGTGTGGGAAAGGGAGCAGACATTGCTCGTGTTGGGTTGAAGTTTCCAACGCGTTCACGTCTTAGGCTGCGGTGTGGCTCTGTGGTAGGGGGCTGGCCGAGCGAGCGCACGCAAGGCCCTGGGTTTGATCTCAGCACACACGCGCACACGTGCATTCCGATCGCCTAGAAGAGTCGTTTCCACGGGTACGGGAAGGCCGCCCTGGCGGGGCGGGGCGGGGCGGGGGCAGGCAGGGCGCCCCTCTGGGAGGGCGGCGGGCAGGGCTGGGGGCCTCCGACGCCGGGCAGCGGGCGGTGGCCCCGGTACTCACTCTGGCCACCCCTCGAAGGTGGAGACGGTGAAGAGGGCCATCATGGCGGTGAGGACGTTGTCAAAGTCGAACTTGCTGTTTTCCCAGCTGCGGGGCTGGATGATGGGGTGGTCCACCTCCCCGTCTTTGTAGGTGATGTAGTTTCCCCTGCCACGGCAGCAGACTGGGCGTTAGTGCCGGGGTCCCCCTGTCCGGCGTAGTGCGTGGGGACTTGGGGAGCACTGGGGGGGGTGGACCAGCAAGGCCGGGGCCACGCACGCCGCGGGGTGGTGGGGGGGGCAGCACGGTCGGAATCAGGAACGCGTCCACAGCTCTGACCGCGCGCCGCGGGGCGGGGGGGGGCACGGTTGGAAGCAGTACCATGTCCACAGCTCTGACCGCGCGCCGCGAGCTGGCCATCAAGCCCCGCCCTCCCTGGCGGCCCGTCTGGACCCCGGCGGCACGCTCATGCACACTCACTTGCACTCGGCCTCGGTCTGCTTGGAGCTGTCGGAGCAGGTGTAGAGCTTTCCCTGGAAGGCGGAGGAACAGCGGGGCTGGTTAGAGACGCCCCGAAACGGGCGGATCCAGAGGACGGGGGGGGGGCTTTGGGATGAAAAGGCCCGAGAGAGCCCACATGTGAAGGGGAGACAGGCTCACCCCACGGGAAGGGGAGACAGGCTCACCCCACGGGAAGGGGAGACAGGCTCACCCCACGGGAAGGGGAGAGAGGCTCACCCCACGGGAAGGGGAGACAGGCTCACCCCACGGGAAGGAGAGACAGGCTCACCCCACGGGAAGGAGGGCCGCCCGCGGCGGGCAGGCCCGGCTGAGAGGACGGAGCAAAGCCTCCTCCGGCCTCCGCCGTCCCAGGGCCGGGGCCTGTGGTCACTCGCCCCACGTGCTGCCTGGGCGGCTGCCGCGTCCCTTTCCCGGGCCGGCGGTGGGGTGAGGTGGGGGCCGTCCAAGCCCCGTGGAGACCTTACCTTGAAGAGCTGGACCCCGATGCAGGCGAACATGAACTGCAGCAGCGTGGTGACAATCACGATGTTGCCGATGGTCCTGATGGCCACGAACACGCACTGGACCACGTGCTGCAGGGGACAGAGGGACACACACACACACACTGAGCCACGTGCCGCAGGGGCCGCAGGGGCCGGGGACAGGGCAGGCGGGCAGCCCGAGCTCGTGGAGGAGGGAGCGCAGACACATCGGGGCGATCAGGAGAAACGGGGCTGAAGAGACACGGCAGACAGCTGTCCCGTGGGGAGCCCAGAGGACTGGGAAGTCGGGGTGCGGGGTGGCGGGGGGCCCAGCCCTCGCGGCGAGGGCCTCCCATGTGGGAAATTTTCTTGGGGCTTCAGGGTTTGAAAGTCCGTTTGGCATGGAGCGAGACTCCCAGTGGGACGGGACTCGGCGCCAGCCTGGCAGGCTCCTGGCCACCATCTTCCCATTCCAGTGTCTCCCTGTCCTCAGCGGAACCCCCAACGGGAAGCTTTTGTGGGTGGAGCCCCCTCGGGCCCCCTGGCGCCCCCCGCCCGCTCACCTTGAGTCCTTTGGCCCTGTTGATGGCCCTCAGGGGCCTGAGGACACGCAGGACTCTCAGGATCTTCACCACGTTGATGGCACTCGACCTGCGGGGGGAGGAGGAGGGGATGACGGAGGCTCAGAAGAAAATGGGGTCGGCCTCGGGGGTGTTTTTACTTCTGTCTCCCGCTGTAGGAGCCCCGAGCGAGCTGGTCCTCCTTGGGGACCCTGAGCAGGCTGGGACGGTGGCCCCGGGCGGAGGGCTGTGGTGGCCGTGGTTGGATCCCCAGCCTATGTGCGGGTCGGGGGCCGTCTGGGTCGGGGGCCAGACGCCGATAAGCAAGTTGGCAGGCGTCCCCGGCGATGGCGCCAGTGCGGCAGGAGGGACGCGGGGAGCCAGGGCCCCGGATTCCCACCCCGCTCCTGCTATCTGCCCGCCACAGCTCCACTCACGCTGGATAGGAGGAGGGATTCTTGGTTCAGGGGGAAAAGGGGGATTTGGTGGTGGAGTTGGGCGGGAAGCTGGATCCTGTGAGCTGAAAGTTCTGGGTGGAGCTGGAGACGGCGGGAGAGGTCTCCATGGCCACCCTGCCATCCTCCAGGCTGGCCACCAGCCGGTCAGGGAGGGGGCCGGGCCCGCCAGCACACCTGCCTGTCTTTGCCATTGGTGTGGCTCAGAGCAAGTCTTGCGAGGGCCTGAGTCTCAACTTTCCAATGTCCCATCCCTGAGCTGAGAACAGCACATGTTCATGCTCCTCTCCCCCCTCCCTCCCTCCCCCCTCCCTTTCTCCCTCCCTTCCTCCCTCCCCCCCCCTCTCTCTCACACACACACACATACACACAGAGGCACACACACACATGCACACACTTTTTTTTTTTTTGTCAGTCATGGGTCTTGAACTCTGGGCCTGGGCGCTGTCCCTCAGCTCTTCAGCTCAAGGCGAGCGCTCTACCACTTGAGCCACAACACCACTTCTGGTTTTTGGGTGGTTTATTGGAGATCAGAGTCTCATGGACTTTCCTGCCCGGGGCTGGCTTTGAACCACGATCCTCCGATCTCAGTTTCCTAAGTAACTGGGATGACAGGTGTGAGCCACCGGCGCCCGGCAACACACATTTTGACCAACTGAAGAGAGAGGTGGGCTGGGGGGTGGTGGCTGAGGAGCAGGTCAGGCCGCGATGGCCGTGGTAGGGACACCTGCTTCTTTGTCGCGTCGCCCCCCCCCGCCCTGCCCCGGGCCGCCGCGAGCTGAGCCAGCTCTACTCACTGTATGCCAAAGGAGATGAGGGACACACTAACCACCAGCAGGTCCAGGATGTTGAAGTAGTTCCGGCAGAAAGAGCCCTTGTGCAGGAAGGCCCCGTACGCGGTCATCTGCGGAGAACCGGCCGTGTGTGAGCGCCCCGGCCCAAGCCCAGAGACCCCCCCGCCCTGCCCGTCTGCCCGCGGCAGCCAGACAGGCCCCAAGCTCTGCCCGAGGGGGCCAGGAAGGCTGGGCGGGACAGGGTGCCGAGAAGAGAGCTCCGCATGCAGCCATTCAACCGTGCCGGGCTCCCCACAGCCTGGGGTGTCCAGGGGGCTCCACCTGTCAGACCATGCGGGTTTCGTGCCCGCCTTCAAAGCCCTTTAAGGCGAGCCCCATCCAAGATGGGGCCAGCCACGTCAGGGCGCTCTGCTGAGCTATTTGGGCTGGGTTTTCCCTCCTCACGTCCTCCCTCCCACCCACCCAGCTGGCTGGCAAGGAGACCGGCCTAGAGAGGTGACCACCTGCCTTTGTCTGCCCAGGACTTACGCCCACCCCCGGGAGGAGGGTTTAGGCTCGGCTCTCGCCCACGTCCCAGTGGTACGGACGGGACTGGATGGGGGGACACAGGCTCTGGAGCTGTGCTGACCTCCCTCCACCCCCCCCCCCGCCCGTGCCCGGGTTCAAATCCCACCCCTGCTGGGAACTGCTCTTCCCGGAGCCTCATTGGGGAAACCGAGGCTGCCCCGTTGGGTTGGAGGCCCCCGAGAGTGTGTGGGGGACGGAGCCCACGCCCGCGGCGCCGGCCCTGTGGCCAGGGCTTGGGTCGAATGCGGGGATCTTCCTACGTGAGGGGCAGGGGCCCCTTCTGCTTCCCCGATACCCCAAAAACCTCAGGAGCAAGAGCACGGGCAGGGACGGGTGGGGAGGGAGCTTCCTCTCTCTCTCTCCTACATCCCCCTGCCCCCCTGCTGAGTGGATTGGACCCGCGGATAGCCAGGGTGAGGCTGTTAAAAAAAATCCACGGGCCACGAGGCAGCAGACAGAGGAAGGCGGTGGACCGGACAGCGGGAGGGCCTCCTCTCCTGGGAATCAGAGCGTCCCGGGTGCCGCAAGGGGGCACAAGTAGCTCTGGCGGCCTCATCCTCTCCATCGACCTCCCCCGGCCAGCAGCGGGCGGCAGGAGACTCAGATGCGGGGGTCGTTACGTAAGAGACCGTGGTGGGGGGGGTGGGGGGTCGGAGCTTTGGGCCTCTCCCAGGGGCCGCTTGGTCCAGTGTGGTCTCAAGGCCCTCAGCTGGGCGGAAGACCGCCGAGGCCCAGGCCCCCAGCCCCCGGAAGGGCTGACCGCCTTCTCCCGCGCCTCCTGCAGCCTGAGCGAGGACGGATGGCCCTGGCCACCTGCGCCTCGGCACAATGCCGGGCAGAGCCCGCTCCGCCAGAGAGACTGGGGTGGGGGGGACCGGGCTGGGGGTGGACACGCAGCACAGCCAGCACGGAAGAGACCCGAAGAGGAAGAGAGAAGGGGCGGGAAGGGCCGTGCCGGCCATCGACAGCCTGAGGGGAGGCTGGGGGGCGGGTGGGAATGGCGGCTCGGCATGTTTCTCCTCCTGGAAAAGAACTCCGGTGCATCTGAGTCCGAGTCCAGAAAAAACAACAAAAAAAGCACCCGTGGAAGAGGGGCCGGCAGCAGGTCGGGCAGCGCGGGCTCTGGGTTCCCAGCCCTGGCTTCAGGAACGGGCTCTGCCTAGAGTCACTCTGTCCCTGGGCGGGAAGGGAGAGCTGAGCAGCTCTGGGTCAGTCGAGGAAGCCAGGGGTGGGCACGGCCGGGCCCCTGGGGGACAGCGCTGTCACCGAGAGCTCAGGTAAGGTGACATGAGTCCCTCGAAGGGCCGGGTTTCGCCAGGACGGGAAGGGACTGCAGCTCCCAGGGCCGCATCAGCCCCAATCACAGGGCCTCGGGGGCCCCGGGCCCCGGAGACGGACATGGAGGGCCAGAGTCCCAGTGAGCATCGCATCACCCCGACGCGCGTGATCTGAGCAGTTGGCCCAGGTGCTGGGTGGCCTGGCCTGGGCGCCTGGGCTTGGGGGGGGGGCGGACCGTGACCTGGCTCTCCCCAGAGGGGCTGGGCCGGGGTTCTGTCTGGCCTGGGCACCCGGGCTGGGGGGGGGCGGACCGTGACCTGGCTCTCCCCAGAGGGGCTGGGCCGGGGTTCTGTCTGGGTTGGGGATGGCTGCATGAAGGCAGTTCTGGAGAGTCGGACAGGGCCAGCGTCGGGCAGGCCGGGGCCTGGCTGCTCACGCTCCCTGCAGGAGCTCCCCCGGGGCACGGAGGGGCCAGATGCATCGTGCGTGATCGGGGTGGGAGCCAGGCTGCCCGTCCTGCCCGCGATGGAGCGGTGTGGCTCCAGCTCGGCTCAGCCCCACATCCACAGCGAGCCACGGAGGAGTGCGTGGGGACGGTCCCCGGAGACGGCGGCCACGGGGCGCCTTTACGCAGCGGGGGGGGGGTCTCTTCCCTTTCTACAGAGCTCATCCGGGCGGGAGGAGAGCGATCGAGTTGGAAGGAGGGTTCTGCCACGCACTGACCGGCAATGGCGCAGGGGAGCCTGGAAGCCGGGCACCCCCGGTGGCCACGGAGCCTGACCAGTGACGGGAAAGCCACCCGGAGCGTCACCACGGCTGGGGCGGGGCGGGGCGCACCTGCTCTTGGCCTACAGCAGGACAAGGGGCAGTCCTGCCTGGCTCCTGAGCCTGGGCACAGTGACAGTACTAACTCTCCACGTTAGGCTTGAGAAGTCGGGGGGGGGAACAGAAGTCAGAGCGTCGGGGGCAGAGCAGAGGCGGAGGGGCATGCTCAGGGTGGGTTACCTTAAGGATAATTTCTAATGTAAAGATACTAGTGAAGACGTAGTCAGCATTGCCTAGGATCTGGAAGACAAGCAGAACGGGGTTAGTGGCTCAGAGTGACCCCAGGATGCACAGAGCTGGTGTGTTAGAGACAGGGAGCAGCATAGCAGGCCGGCGCAGGCCGGCGGGCGCGGTGCGGAGGGGCCGGCGGTCTGCGGGGCTTTACCTTCAGAGCAATTTCAATGGTGAAAATGGTAGTAAAAACAATGTCAAAATAAAACAGAATCTGCAAAACAGAAAAGCAACAGGGCGGGCTTGGGATGGGGGCCGGCAGGAGGGAGCCGCCAGAGGACGTTCACCGGAAAAGGGGGCATCCTCCAAAACAGGGAGCCCTTTCCAGAGACCTCTGTGGACGGGCGGGTGGGACTGGGGGGGACGGGCGTACGGCCGGCCCTGGTGCCATGCGGGCTGGTGTGGGCAGCCCAGCGGCTCTGGATGGAGCTTCCCCGGGCGGGAACAGGGTCCAGGCAGTGTCTGCCTGGCTGGCGGCTCTCCCCGTGAACCCAGTTTGCCTTCCAGCCCCCAAATTTGACCATGGGGATGTTTGTCAAAAGGGGAGAGGAGCCGGGCTCACGCCTGTCACCCCAGCGACTCAGGAGGCTGAGATCTGAGGATCGTGGTTCAAAGCCAGCCCAGGCAGGAAAGTCCATGAGACTCTGATCTCCCATGAACCGTCAGAAAACCAGAAGTGGCGCTGTGGCTCAAGTGGTAGAGCAGGGACAGCGCCCAGGCCCAGAGTTCAAGTCCCATGATGGGGAAGGATCGGCTGGTTCCTCTCGGGGACACCCTGAGGGGGGTGGGGGTCGACCGGCCAGTTGCTTCCCTGGGTGTGGACTTTCGTTCCAGGTTTGGGCAGGAACGCTCCCCAGGCCAGCGTAGGCCGAGCCCGGCTGAGGGTTTCATCCTCTTCACACACTGGCTGGGCTCCAGGGATCATCTCAGAGTCTAGCACGGGTGTGTGTGCACACGTGTGTGTGTGTGCATGTGTGTGTGCATTGTATGTGAGTGTGTGTGAGGCTTGGAGACACAGCTGTTCTGATTCTATCCTTTGAGGTGTTCACTAGGGTCGTGATGGGGCCTGGTTTGGACTGGTGCTACGGAGGACGGCAGAGGCTTGTTTTAACTTTGAGTGCAGGGCCTTGTGTGCGCAAGGCCGGCGCTCTGCCACCTGAGCCACACCTCCAGCCCTTTTGACCCTGGTGATTTGCAAGGCTGTCTCGTTCTGGGCCTGGCCTGGGATCCTTGTATTTGATCGGGCATGCCGCCGCACCCAGCCTCGCAGTTGAGGGGGAACACTCTGCCCAGGCCGGCCCTGAACCAGGATCTTCTGGTCTCTGCCTCTCAGATAGCGAGGATGACTGGCTTGAACTGCTGTACCGGGCCGTGGCTGGCTTTCATCGGGGGCCAGCCTGATTGATCACTGTCACATTTGCCAACGCTCCCGGCCTGGCCGGAGGGCTCTGGGAGCAGGCGGGAGACGCCGGGGTGGGGGTGGGGGGCTCTCTCACTGAGTCCTGCTCTGAGCCCCGTCTTAGAGGAATGCTTGCTGTGCATCTGACGATGAGGCGCAGACCCCGCGTCCAGACCGCGGCCACAGAAGCCACGGGCCTGCTCCTGGGACAAGGGGGTACAGGGGACAGAAAGTGGGGGCGGGGTGGGGCGGGCCTACGTGGTTCCTGAAGGAGGTGTGCTGCACGGGGTCTTCGGCGGCCAGGGAGATGCTGCTGAGCAGGATAAAGAAGAGGATCAGGTTGGTGAAGATGGTGTCGTTCACCACGCGGTGGCACTGGAGCCGGAACCTGCGGGGAGGAGGGGAGAGGAGGAGATGGAGACCAGCGTGCGCCCCCCGCGCCCCGGGAGCCGCACCCCTAAAAGGGCCGTCCATGGAGACGCCGCGCGGCTCTGCGTTTTGTGACGCGAAACAGACTCGGTGGATCCTGAAGAACAGAAAGATGGAGTCTGCGTGTTCAACACCTGAGAGGGGGGGATGCGGACCACACGTTCCGAATGCGAGTGTGTGTGTGTGCGCGTGTGTGCGCTCCCTTGTGCTTACACAAGCTGGAGGAGAGGCCCCGACTCGCCGGCTGGCGGCGGGGGTCCACCTCCCCCGCGCCCCCACGCACCTGTTGTTGGGGCTGAAGATGAAGAAGGCGCTGGCTTCCGGCATGGGCACGGCCTTCTCCTTCAGGTGCAGCTCGGAGAGGGGCCGGGGGCGGGGCCCCACCGGCATCTCCGGCTCTTCCTCCTCCTCTTCTGGAAAGACAAGCAGCCCTGGAGACAAGGCCCGCGTGCGTCTCCACCTCCCACCCCCACCTCTGGCTCCCAGGAATGCCAGTGCGGCTCACGAGGGCTGCCAGAGAGCCCCGCTGCCTGACACGGGTCTCCGCGGAGCACGGGGAGGGTGGCCAGCGGGTCTCTGTTCGCCCCAATCTGTCCTGGTCTTAGCACTGAAATCCCCACTTCCCGGGAAAGGGACCTCGCCCCCCATCTTCGAGTCTAGTTGGTTTATTTGGGGACCCAGACAAGATCCTCTCCCGGGAGCTCTTTCCAATTCTGTCGCCCAGTTGTACAACTCCTTAGAGAGAGTAAAAATACAGCGAGAGAGTTCTGTGACAGACCCTTCCTCAAAGGATTTCTAAGACTGAAAAAGACTCTCTCGCCAGTCGAGCCGCACAGACACACAGGAAGGTCTCATCCGCAGGGCGCTTCCTTAGGATAGGAGGCCCGAAGGCATCGTACAAGGAAAGCAACAAGTGGGCCACCGGTGCCAGCGCTGCCCCTCCACTCCCGAGGCTCCTGAGCCAGGGCTGCGTGGAAGGGGACCCGCCGGAGCCAGTGGGGGCAGAAAATCGTCTGCCGTCCCCGTACACTGCCTAAGATAGTGGCGATCTCGCAGGGGCGAGCCTTAAATGTACGCAGATCCGACTTCCAAAGAACACATGGAGCGGGAGGAGATGGGGGGAGGAAAAGGGGTCCCAGACTCGGAGAGACACGGGGATTCTAGCATCCACAGCACAGCGTGTGTGAGAGGCGATTATTATGTGTCACGCATTTATGGATGGACCAGAAGAGAGGGCGCAAAGGCTCCAAACATGAAGTCACCATGGACCGGCCCATGCAAACTACTGGACCGGACCGCCACTCCCTGCCCGAGTGTGTCCGGTGATCATCCGGCGGTACTGGATTTACTCTTACAACATTCCCACCACGAGTAATTTAAAATCAGAAGCTGACACTGTTACAAAGAAATGGATTCCTTATCTGACTTACACAACCGCAACCCCTCGGTCCACCACCTTTACCATGACCGTAATAAATAAATAAAAAAAGTCATCCGCAGAAAGATTAAAAAAACCAAAACGCTGCTCAGACGCGGCCCTGTCGATCTCAACATTATTATTACGGGGAAGTGGGGGGAAGGAGCCCCCAGCTAGCAGCAGGAATGCTAAGCGTCAGCAGCGCGTGTGTGCAGAGGAAATGGGGACTGTCCGTCATTTCCACGTGGCCAGTAGTGTGCGTGTGTGCATGGAGGAAGGGGCCGCCAGTCATTTCCGTGTGGAGATCGGGGTCCGGGCCCCCCGCCCCCCCAGCTGCAGAGTCGGCCGCGAGTCTGGTACCTGTGGTGTCTGGGTTGGGGTAGGAGCTCTTATCCTCATTTTCATTGGGCTGGAGCTCGTCCACGGTGATCTGGGCAGGGGCAGAGGAGGGAGAGTCCCGTTAGAGACCTGCCACGGTTCGGGGGTCCCCGTGGCCACCCTGGGGAGGAGGCCCCGCCCCCCTTCACCTTGCATGGCCTTGGGGGACCGCGCAGAGGCCGGGACCCCCACGGTGCCTTCTCCCCCCCCCGCTGGACCCCATGGCCCGGATCTGTGCTGGCTCCTTCCTCTTCCTCTCCGGGTGTGGGGCCCGGGGGACCCCTCCTCTGTGGCCGGGACCCCGCCAGCCATGGCGAGGGAAGGAGGGGCGGCCACGCACCTTGGTGGTGGGCGGGGACTCGCCGTCAGCCGTGATGGACCGCAGCTCGATCTTCTCCTCCTTCATCTCCTCCACCACCGGCTTCTCCGCCGCCTCCTGTTTCTTCTCGGGGCTGGCCGTCCTGGCCGGCCAGCGGGAGGAAAACACAAAAGGAAGGGATGTTGACCGGCGCGATGCGGGTGTCGGCCCTCCCCTCTCCCCAGGCACGGGACCGTGCCCGGTTCACGCCTTCCAGCCTCTGGAGTCCCCAGATGGGAGAACGGCTCAGGCCAGCACGGCGTGCCGAGTCCGGTCTTGCCTTCCCCCCACGCAGAACGAGGCCAGCGGGAAGGAGACGGCTCTAAGCCAGCATGGCGTCCCCGTGAGGGCTGCCTTCCTCCTCTCCGCCTCCCTACAAAGAGGCCCCAGCTCCTTAGACGGGGCGGGGATGGAAGGCTGCGCAGAGACTACCATACAGCGGCCTCTGCTCCAGCACAGTGCCGGGGACTCGGGAGACAGGTCTAACCTGGGACTCGGGAGACAGGTCTAGCCTGGGACTTGGGAGGCAGGTCTAGCCTGGGACTCAGGAGGCAGGTCTAGCCTGGGACTCAGGAGGCAGGTCTAACCTGGGACTCAGGAGGCAGGTCTAGCCTCGGACTGGGGAGGCAGGTCTAGCCTGGGACTCAGGAGGCAGGTCTAGCCTCGGACTGGGGAGGCAGGTCTAGCCTGGCACTCGAGGAGGCAGGTCTAGCCTGGGACTCAGGAGGCAGGTCTAACCTGGGACTCAGGAGGCAGGTCTAGCCTCGGACTGGGGAGGCAGGTCTAGCCTGGGACTCAGGAGGCAGGTCTAGCCTGGGACTCCCCAGGCCTCCTTCCAAGCACGACTGGCATTTCAGAGCAGCGGGTGGGCTCAGAGGGTTACCTGGCTAGCTTCTTCCTCTCTTTCTCCTCCTCCTCCTCCTTCTGGGCAGAGGTCAGGCTTTCCGCATCGGCCAGGTTATCCACCGCAATGGCCAAGAACACGTTCAGTAGGATATCTGTTTGTGTCCGTTCTTAAAGAAAACGACTCCTGGTTTTGGGGTGTGGGATGGGCCCGGGAGAAGGGACGGGGGAGTTTCTCATCAGAGCTCGCTTTAGGGGGTCCCAGGCCGTGTCTTTCCCTCCCTGCCCCCCGTCCGTCCCCATCCGCCTCCTCCATGCCTGGAGCTTTCTAACTGGCCAGGACCAGGCTGGCTGGCCGGCTGGCCGGGCCTGATCTCTCATGGCTGAGCGGCATCTCCAGCGGCGTGGAGACCGCGGGTGAGAGCAGTTCTTTGTGAGTGGGTGTGGCTCGATGGCCCGGCCGCTCTCACGGTGAGACTGCACCTAGCTACGAAGCCCTGGCCCCGGCCTGGCTGGAGCTGGAGCGCGCCTCCCTGCTGCCTACCCCGCTCCCCTCCCCCGGTAACCGAGGCCCCACAGGGCAGACGGAGCTGGAGGCGTCACACCGGACCTCCTCCCCGGACACCCAGAACTCCACCCGCTTCTCACACAGGGAAGCTGGGAGCCGGTGGAGGAAGCCAGCTCCCCCAGGGCCTTGCCCGGGGCCCCGGGAGGAGGCGGGGGGGGGGGGTTCTGTGTGTGAGGAGGCGGGGGCTTGGCGTGCGAGGAGGCGGGGGGGTTCTGTGTGCGAGGAGGCGGGGGCTCGGCGTGCCAGTCGGTCACACTCACTGGCCCCTTCAGAGCACTCACTGTTATTCAACCACAGGCTGAGCAGCCCTTGCCTGAAATGCCTGAGATCACAAGGGTCTCAGGATTCATTAAAAAAAACCTCTCTCTCTCTGTGAGTGTGTGTGTGTGTGAGTGTGTGTGTGTGAGTGTGTGTGAGTGTGTGTGAGTGAGTGAGTGTGTGTGAGTGTGTGTGTGTGTGTGTGTGTACTTTGGCCCAGTATCGGTGGCTCACACCCGTCATCCTAGCTACTCAGGAGGCTGAGATCTGAGGATCAAAGTTCAAAGCCAGCCCGGGCAGGAACTTCCCTGAGTCTCTTCTCTCCTTTGAACCATCCAAAAAAAAAAAGAGCTGGAAGTGGCGCTGTGGCTCAAGTGGCAAAGCACCAGCCGTGGGTGAAAAAGCTCAGGGACAGCAACCAGACCTTGAGTTCAAGTCCCAGGCCGGGCACAAAAAAAGGGCTTTGGGGCTGCTGGTGCGTGCGCGGCACGTGTCCGTACGTGGCGCTGGCCCGTGGACGCTCCTGCCAATGCCACAGTGTCCTTAGCAAGCTTACACGACCGTGGGGCTCGTGGGTGGTTGTTTTTGCGGATGTTGCCGTGGTGTGGCTTTGTGAGTTGGGGTTTTGTGGTGGGAGCAGAGCGCGCCGTGCGCCCGCCCTGGGGGTGAAGCGTGGTCTGTGGGCCCAGCACCCCTTGCTTCCTGAACCACACAAGCTGGGATTTAACCGGAGTCTCGGCACCTCCTTTGCCACCCGGTGTCCGGACGCGAGGGGCAGAGAACCCAGGGCCTGGGCTGCGTCAGGACGGAGCCATGGGGTCTGCTCGGCGCCTGCCCAGCTCGGCCTGCGTGAAGGCCGCTCCGCACGCCGCGGCCCCTTCCAGGAGGCTGCATGCACTGGGGTGCCATCCACCTGAGTGATAACCGGGGCTCCCGCCTGGGGGGAACGCTCAGCCGCAGCCCATCGGGGGCCCTCGGAGACCTGGTGGGAGCCCCCTGGGCCTGCTCTGTGCTCTTACCCGGGGCAGCCTTGCTGGGCCTGGCGGGCCCGGGTGGGGGGTGGGGGGGCTCGGACAGCCTGGGGGGGGGGGCGGGGGGGGGACGAGGGAGCTGTGGATGGGAATGGCCCCGAGCGCCGGGGGTGAGGCATACCTGCGGGCAGAAGGGAAAGCAGGTGTGAGCGTGTGTGTGAGTGTGTGTGTGAGCGTGTGTGCACCTGTGTGTGTGGGGGGAGGGGGGCAGCGGCAAAGGATACAATTCCCACAGATGAAGAGGATGATGAAGTAGATACAGACTAACATCCCTGGAAAAGAGGGGCCGCCATAAGCCATGATCCCATCATACATCACCGAATTCCAGTCCTCCCCGGTCAGGATCTGAACGACACATTCCCACCAATAAGGGACACAGCGTTAGACCAACAGCAGAGCCCGCACTCCCCGCCCGGTCCCGGCCTCCTCCCTGGGGGCGGCTCTCCTCCCGGGCTGGGGGGGGGCTCCCACACATCTAGCTCTATCTCTTGGCCGCATGCACGGCCCCCGGCAGACGCTCCCTCAGTGGCCTCCCGTACGGATCGAGTGAGGGACGGGAAGGTGGCCGTCCCCTCCCCCCATGCTGGCCTTTATGGCTGTGAATCCGTGGGCCGCACCGGGTATCCGGCACCATCTTAGGGTTTTGGTAGCACTTGGAACACTATTGATTTGTTTTTTAAATAAGTCATTTTACGTTTAGACTCTCCCAAGTGCTACGATTTTAATGGAAGAGACGATCGTAAAGACGAACCCCCCTCTTCCCCAGGCCTGAAGCTGGAGGCCCCTGGGCACGGACCGCCGGTGGGGGGGGGCGAGCTAGGCTGGCTCCGCGCCCAGGACAAGGACGCCACTTCCCACCCCTCACCTTTCTGGGGCTCCTTCTTGCTCCCCCTCCGGCCCCGCCGCCCCCTCCCCGTCGTCCCCCCTCTGCCCCCCCGTCATTCCCCCCCCATGGGCGTCCCAGCCCGGGGGGAGCCCCCACCTGGAAGACGGTGAGGAGGGACTGGGGGAAGTTGTCGAAGGTGCTCCTGCGCGTCTGCATCTCGTCGAAGTTGAACTTGCCCCCGAAGAGCTGCATGCCCAGCAGCGAGAAGATGATGATGAAGAGGAAGAGCAGCAGCAGCAGCGAGGCGATGGAGCGCACGGAGTTCAGCAGGGACGCCACCAGGTTGCTCAGGGAG